TAAAAAAAGGTAATATAGCCAGGCATGGTGGGACATGCCTTTAATCCCAGCACTCACTAGGGAGGCAGAGGCCAGCCTGATCTACACAGAGAGTTCCAGGCTAGCTGTGGCTACAGGGAGACTGTCTCAAAAAGTAATTTAAGCCATGTGTGATGGCATATGCACTCAGAAAGCAGAGGCAGGTGGATCTCTGTGAGATCCAAACCAGCCTGGTCTACATGGTGAGTTCCAGGCTTACTGGGCTATAGGGAGACCCTGTCTCAAAAAGAACAACAGCAGCCAGGCATGGTTTGCACACCTTTGATGTCAGCACCTGGGAGACAAAGACATGTGGACCTCTGTGATCTTCAGGACAGCCAGGGCTACATATTGAGACCAGTTTCAAAAATAAAATAAAGGGGCTGGAGAGATGGCTCAGCGGTTAAGAGCACTGTCTGCTCTTGCAGAGGTCCTGGGTTCAATTCCCAGCACCCACATGGTGGCTATGAACCGTCCTTGACTTCCAGGGAAATCCGAAGCCCTCTTCTGACCTCTGAGGCATTGCACAACACGGGTGCACTCACATACATGTAGGCAATACACTCATACACATAAAATAAAAATAATAAAATATTTTTAAAAAATAAAATAAAATAATCAGGAGCTCGAGAGATGGCTCTGCAGTTAAGAGTGATAGCTGCTCTTGTAAAGGACCTGGGTTCAGTTCCCAGCACTCACATAGTAGCTAACAGTGATTCCCTAGAATCGGACGCCCTCTTCTGACCTCTGCAGGCATTGCATGACATGGGTGCACTTACATACATGCAGGCAATACACTTAACACATAAAAAATTATAAATAAGCTGGGCGTGGTGGCACACGCCTTTAATCCCAGCACTTGGGAGGCAGAGGCAGGTAGATCTCTGTGAGTTCAAGGCCAGCCTGGTCTACATAGTGAGTTCCAGAACAGCTGGGGCTAAGGGAGACCCTGTCTCAAAAAGACCCCCCCAAAAAAAATTATAAATATTTTTTAAAAATTACTACTAGTGTTAATAAGTTCTTTAAGTTTTTAATATAAACACTTGTGACATTTGTGTTTCTGTAAAAAAGCAAAGATATTGAGATAGGATAATGTGATTACCTAATTACCAGCTGTTAGACTCTCTCTTGCTGCCCTAGCTGCTTTGAGGAAAGGGATTGTCAGTCAAATGGCCAGCCTAACTGTCCTTATGCTAGTACCAGCCATATGGAACACTCTGCAGACACCTTGAGAAAGCTGATGATCATAGCTGATTGCTCAGCTCCTGAAGACACAGCCTCAGCCAGAGCTGTTTGAAACACTCTGCCATGGACTTTTTCCTATCACAAGCTTCAGTGAACTCTAGAAGACTCTATGAATATTTCCACTTAGGCCAGGGTGGAGCTGTTTCTCCTTGTAACCTAGCAGAAGGATGCTTGTGATTGGTGCTAAGAATGAAGGCTGTGTTTATAATCTTGGCCTAGAGTCTGAGACCCTAAGACCCTGAAGATGTAACACCTCAGTGACCAGAGCTTGCAGTCTCTGCTCCTTACAACCACTTCTCTTCAGGAAGCTGTCTGCTCCCTCTTGCTGTCTTTCTACATCCACTGCCCTTCTTCCTGGTGCTGGCTGCTCTCCAACTGTTTGGCTTCTTTTTAGGTGTCAAATGGCTGGCTGTCTTGACCCATTTACAAATGATCCTACCAATTACTCAGCTGTGCCTCTTAAGACAGCCAACATCTTCACTGTTGTCTTTGCTGGTTCCTCCATGTTAATTCAGCCTACCAATGAAAAAAGGAAGGAGAAAACAACACAAAACACCAAAACCAACCAGCCGAGAAGCTTTTTTTGTTGGACCTACAGCACCTATATCAGTTGAGTCTGCTAAGGAGAGTGTCTCAAGCAAACTCACTAAGAGAGCCAGAGCAGGCTGTAAAGGGTATCTGGACCAATGATCAATGACAGTCATTTGCTCTGGACTAATCACAGCTCTCTGTTCTGGATCAATCACAGCCTTCTCTCTTAAGCACCAATCAGAATAATTGAGACTTCTGTTTGGGCCAATCATATTCTCGCTTCTTAGCACCTATCATAGCCATCCTTCCACTAGGCCACTAGGCAAAGTATTCCCCTTCTTTTTTTTTTTTTTTTTTTTTTTTTTTTTTTGGTCTTTTTGTGACAGGGTCTCCCTGTAGCCCCAGCTGGCCTGGGACTCACTATGTAGACCAGGCTGGCCTTGAACTCACAGAGATCCGCCTGCCTCTGCCTCCCAAGTGCTGGGATTAAAGGCATGCGCCACCATGCCCGGCAAGTGTTCCCCTTCTTGCCAGAAATAGTTGCAAGATTATCCAGAGTTCACTGAGGCTCTTGATAAGCAATGAGTTTGGTACAAACTGTTTCAGGCACTCCAGCCTGAAACTGGGCTTTCAGGAACCAGAGCAATCAGCTGTGATCATTAATTTTATTGAGGTGCCTGTGGAGTGTTCCAGATGGCTGGTGCTGGCAGAACCCAGTCCAGCTGGCTGTTTGACTGGCAGCCCTTTTACTTAAGGCAGCTAGGACAGCAAGGGAGAGGCTAATTAGGGAATCAGATTGCCCCATCCCCCAAAGGCTTTGCTTATTTGCAGTTAAATGAATCAGATGTATGTGCTCATAATAAGAACCCTACAGAACTTATGAACACCCAGTGATGTTAATCGATGTCTACAGTGCTTTACCAGTGCCCAGTACCTGCCCAGTCCTCCTGGAAGACTTAGATTTCCTTTGCCTGTCTCAGTGGCATAGAAGCATAATATAGTAGGGTGGCAGACATGACAAGAGATTTATGCAAAAATTAATAAATGAGTGCCCATGCTCCTGTAAGCAATCCTAATGAAACTCACTGAGTCGAAAAAAGAAAAAAGGAAGAAAAACAGAGAAAAGAAGGGCTGAAGAGATAACCCAGTGGTTAAGACTGCCTGCTGTTCTTCCAGAGGAGCAAAGTTCAGTTCCTGGTACCCACATTGGGAGTCTCACAACTCCCAGTAACTACATCTCCCTCTTCTGGCCTCTGTAGTTACCTGCACTCATGTGCATATAGATACACATATACACACGTATATATAATTTAAAATAAAATAAAAACAAAATAAACAAAAAAAAATCTCCAAAAAATTAAAGTCGAAGGGAGACTGGTTGGGAAGAGGAAGGGACTTAACAGGAGTGAGTGGGAACAACAGACAATGAAGGGTGAATATGGTCAAAATACGTTATATAAATATATGAACATGCCATATTGAAACCCATTTTTCATATGTGCTAATAAAACAAAAATTAAAAATTTATAAATTACATCTTCATTTGTAAATACAAACACAAGTAAACATAAATGTATATTTATTAAAATAAACACATGCATTTCTTTTTTCTTTAGGTCTTTTTTTTTTTCTTAAAGTATGGATCAGTATGTTACACAGCATAATCGGCCAGGCAGAGTAATACATAACTATAATCTCAGCATTCTGGAGGCTGAGGCAGGAGAATTACAAATGTGAGACCAGCCTGAGCCACATAGCAAGATATTGTCTCAAAAAACAAACCACATCGCAAATGCTAGACTGTAAGGAAAACAGTGAAAGTTTGTCTGACTTCCATTATAACTGCAGTATTCAGCAGCTCTTTAGAAGTTAATTGTCATTGGGGCTGGAGAAATGGCTCTGCAGTTAAGAGCACTGGCTGTGCTTGCAGAGGACCCAGGTTCGATTCCCAGTACTCACATGGCTGCTAACAACCATCTGTAACTCCAGTTCCAGGGGAGTCCGATGCCCTGTTCTGACCTCAGTGGGCATTGCATGACATGGGTGCACTTATACCATGCAGGTAATACATTCATACAAATAAAATAAAAAATGTATTTAAAAGAAGTTAATGGTCATTTACATATCTAGTTGCGGGCACTATTCACAGTGCTATTAGCAATCAAGCAACAATATATGCTATGGAAAAGGTGACATGGAGGAGGGGTGGATGCACACAATGAGATGAATTAAGAAGCAGGTAAGTGGGTATTACCTACTCAACAATAACTTTTCAGAAGAGGACTGATGAGGCACTTCCAAATTTTAGTTGAACACAAAGAAATCTCACTTTGTGTTAAGAAAGTATTGCAATACAGAGTGTGGCAGCACATGCCTTTAGTCCCAGCTCTCAGGAGGCAGGCAGATCTCTGTGAGTTCAAGGCCAGCCTGGTCTACATAGTGAGTGCCAGGCCAGCTGGGGCTACAGACTAAAAAAAAAAAAAAAAAAAAAAAAAAAAAAAAAAAGGAAGAACTCAAGCATTGCAATCTATGCAATCACAGCAACTTCAAAAGTGAGCCAGGCATTTTACAAAGCATTCCCACAAACGGGCTCTCAGGGGGTTAATGGCCATGGATGCTTAATAATTATTAAGCAACAGCCTCTATGTGCAAATGCAGATGTTCGCCTATTTTTCAAAATAATAACCAAGTCAGGCCTTTAATCCCAGCACTCAGGAGACAGGGGTGAACTCTGAGTCTGAGGTTAACCTGGTGGTCTACATAGAGAGTTCCTGGTCAACTAAGGTTACATAATGAGACCCTGTCTCAAGTAATAATAACAGCAAAAGCCAAATACATTTTGTAAGTACAGATCAATATTTTATGTAGCATAGATATAGCCAACCAAGTGTGGTAATCCACACCTCTAATCCCAGCACTCTGAAGGCTGAAGCAGGAAACATTTTTTTCTTTTCTTTTTCTTTTTCTTTTTCTTTTTTTGCTTAGTCAGGCATTCCATCCAGCAGCAGCCGCTGCCACGTGCCATGAATCAAAACAAATCTGCACACTTGGGGTGTACATTCACCCGGCTGGAGCATGCCGGGACGAACCATCCGGACCTGTGGGCGCGGGGGAGGACATGTTGCGTGCGCGGGTCAGGGTCAAGATCTGGAACCCGGGCACTGAAAAGCTGGGCACAGCGATGGCCATCCATACGGCACGGCTGGGAGGGGGGCTCTGCCAGGGTAGACTGGAGCTACTGTGGGGGCCAGAGGCTAGCGTAGGGCTGCATTCTCCCCTTAGCAGTGGTCTCTGCTGCAGGCTGGCGGATCCCGCCAAACTCCGTTCTCAGAGATCCTTTCTCACCCGAACGCCATCTGGGCGTGGGCACTGGAGACCGGGGCCACCGAGATTGCCAAGTCGGATCTCGGATCGCTCGAGAAGGGATTTCCAATCTCCAACTCCAGGACTCCAGGCCTCTCAGGACCACCCGCTTTCGGCCCTCACCCCCATGGCGGACAAGAAACTGGTGGTGGTTTTCGGAGCCACAGGTGAGCGAGCCAGGGCGGCCAGGCCACAGAGCCATGGCTGCAGCCCCTTGTTTGCAGGAAGAGCTGCGGGTGGCTCAGACCCACCCGGGTGGGCTGCGGCCGCAAAACCTGAGCGCAGATTGTTTTGGAGTTAAAAAATACATATTTGCGCTGGGCGTGGTGGCACAAGCCTGTAATCCCAGCACTTGGGAGGCAGAGTTCCAGGACAGCTGGGGCTACAGGGAGCCACTGTGTCAAAAAGACCATAAAAAAAAAAAAAAAAAAAAAAAAAAAAAAATCTGTCAGCAAGTTTTTAAAAAATTCAATTAAGTTTTTATTGCTTATTAAAACTTATATATATGTCGCTTTTTCTAACAGTAGTACATTATTTTGGCCCCACCTACCTCCTCGTCCCTCCTCCCGATTTTCCTTTATATAAATCCTTATTTTTTTAATAAGGTTTTATTTATTATTTTTATTTTATGTGTATGTGTGTATTGCCTGCATGTAGGTAAGTGCACCTGTGTTGTGCAATGCCCGGGGAGGACAGAAGAGGCTGTTCCCTGGAATTGGAGATACGGACAGCTGCCATGTGGGTGCTGGATTCGAACCCCCATCTTCTGCAAAAACAACCAGTGTTCTTAACCACCCCCCAATTCTTATTTTTAAATCATTTACTTGGGAGAGGGGGAGGCATGCCATGGCCCACATGTAGATGTCAGAGGACAACTTGTAGGATAGGTTCTCTCCTTAGACCTGGTGTTTTTTGTTTTTGTCTTTTTGAGACAGAGTCTCCCTGTAGCCCCAGCTGTCCTGGAACTCACTATGTAGACCAGGCTGGCCTTGAACTCACAAAGATCCTCCTGCCTCTGCTGACCCCACCTTGGTAGCAAGTACCTTTACCCATTGAACCATCTCACTGGCTCTTATTTTTGAGAGACAGTCTCACTAGGCAGCCCTGACTGGACTGGAACTCACTGTGTAGACCTTGCTGGTCTCAAACTCAAGAGATCCTCCTCTCTCTGCCTCCTGAGGGCTGGAACTAAAGGTGCATCACTAGACCCATCACCCCTTTATAATTTATTTTCTTGGTATTTTTTTAAAAAATATTTTATTGTTTTTATGTGTATGAGTGTATTGCCTGCATATATGTGAGTGCACCTGTGTCGTGCAATGCCTCGGCAGTCAGAAGAGGGCTTCAGATTCCTCTGGAACTGAAGTTAAGGATGGTTGGTAGCTGCCATGTGGGTGCTGGGAATCGAACCCAGGTCCTCTGCAAGAGCAGTCAGTGCTCTTAACGGCTGAGCATCTCTCCAGCCCCTTTCTTGGTCTTTTTGAGACAGTCTCCCTGTAGCCCTGGCTGGCTTGGAACTCACTATGTAGACCAAGCTGACCTCAAACTCACAGAGATTCCCCTGCCTCTGCCTCCTGAGTACTAGGATTAGAGGCATGCGCCACCACGCCTGGCTAATTTTTTATAAAATTTAAAAAATGGATTGTGTTGGTTAGGTTGATCTTAAAAGCTTGAGGTCAAACCAACCTCCTGCATCGGCCCCTAGAGTAGCACCGACAAAAGGCAAACTGGCTACTGCCTCACTAGAAAATGTTATAAACAGTACAAATGTGATGCTAGTTAGAAATGTAGATGTGAAGTAGTGAGATAGATAGCACCTAAGGGTACTTGCCACTAAACCTGACAGCCTAAATTCAATCCCTGGTGCTCACATGGTGGAAGGAGAGAACTGATTCTTGCAAGTTGTCCTCTGACCTCAATATAAGCATGTATGCATATACATACACATAGTACAAAAATGTGAAGAAAAAAAAAAGCTGTTGATGAATCAACAAAAGGAAAATTTCAAGTAAATTGCTGGTTGATAAGCTAGGGAGGAGAAATGGGGGAGTGACTGTTAATGAAGACAGGCTAAGAAGACACCAGTAGAATTAGATATTACACAATTCAGCTATTATACTACTAAACACAGTTTACACTTTATTTTGTGGTGCTAGCAATTAAACCTAGGGTCTCGTGCATACTAAGCAAACATAATACCACTGAACTGCACTCTCAGCTCCTGAATTATACACACTGAAGAGGTAAACAGTTGGGGCTGGAGAAATGGCTTAGGGGTTAAGAGCTCTTGCTGTTCCTCCAGAGGACCTGAGTTCAGTTTCCAGTACTCATGTTAGGCAGCTTACAACTGTAGCTCTAGTTCCAAGGAATCTGATGTCCTCTCCTGGCCTCTGTGTGTACCAGGCACACATTTGGTACACATATATACATGCAGGCAAATGCTCATACACATAAAATAAAATCTTTTAAAAATTTTTAAATCTGCAAAAAAATGTAAACAGCATGCTATGGTGGTTCATGCCTATAATCCCAGTACTCTGAAGGATGAGGCCAGAGGATAAAGAATTCAAGGTCAACCTGAGCTACATTGAGACCCTGTCTCAAAACAAAAATCACAGAAAACCTAAAAATGCTTTAATGAGAATCATGTGTTTCCTGCTTTGGTAGAGCAATCCCTTCTGAACGTCACTGATTCTTGCAGCTGTGACCCAAGAGGGTCTTTTGGACTTTCTACAGGCGCCCAAGGGGGCTCGGTGGCCCGCACTCTGCTAGATGATGGGACTTTCAGGGTCCGAGTGGTGACCCGGAACCCTGAGCAGAGGGCAGCAAAGGAGCTGAAGCTGCAAGGTGCTGAAGTAGTGCAAGGAGACCAGGATGACCAGGCGAGCATGGAGCTGGCTCTGACTGGAGCTCATGCCACCTTCATTGTGACCAACTACTGGGAGAACTGCAGCCAGAAGCAGGAGGTCAAGCAGGTGAGGGTGTGGGGAAACTGGACAACCATCTGGTTGAAACAGACTTATCTCCTTAATCCTGGAAAACCTGTGTGAGCTTCCTGGGGCTTCTATAGACAAAAGACTGTAACCTGGGTGGTTCAAAACCATTGAAATTCATTTCCCATGGTTCTAAAAGCTGGATCAGAGCCCTTCCATAGGCTCGAGGAAGAATGCTTCCTCACCTCTTCTAGCTTCAGTGGCTCTAGGTGTGCCTGGGCTTGTGGAAGTATTAAACCAGTATCTGCCTGCATCTTCTCATGGCCTCCTCTTCTGTTTTTTCTTTTCAGGGTGGGTGTGGGGGTATAAGACAAGGTCTTGCTATGTAGCTCAAGGGTACCTGGAACTTGCAGTCCTGCCTCAGCATCTTGAGTGCTGGGGTGAATGCTAGACTTGTAGGCCATGCCTGATTTCCTGTTTTTGAAAACAGGGTTTCATTCAGTAGCTCAGGTTGGCCTTAAATTCATGGCAGTCCTCCTGCCTCTACTCCCTGAGTGGTGGGATTACAAGGATACACAGTACCACACCTGGCCCACTTTCTTCCTTTTTATTTTTTGGTTTTGTTTTCTGAGACAGGCTATAACAGAGGCTGGCCTTGAACTATGTAGTTCAGATGGGCCTGAACTCCTGATCCTATTTCAACCTCCCAAGTGCTAGATTTCAGGTATGCACCACCATATTCAACTCTTTTGTCTTAGGATACTTGTCATTGGATTTCAGTTTACCTGGTTAATCTAGGATGGTGTCACACCTCAAGATCTTTACTTTAATGGCATGTATCAAGTTATTGACCAGTGGAATCAGAATGGTTAAACCACTTACTTGTCCTAGAACACACAGCTAATATATTGCAGATGGAACCTGAGCAGCCTGTGTGCTTAAGCACCAAGATGTAGCTCCTCTACAGATGACTGAGCTCTCCAAGAAGTCAGCTGAGCTCCATGGACAAGATGGTTTCTACTCTGGCGAGAAAAGGGCTTCAATGCATCCCTTCCCAACATAGTGGACTTGCTTTTATTTTTTCAGGCAGGGTCTCATGTACTTGAAACTGGCCCTGAATGCCTGATCCTCCTGCCTTCACCTCTGACTTACTTTTACCTAGTGGTAAATGTGCATAGTGACCTGTAAATGAGAAAAACCCAAGTGATCTCAAAGATGATCCTGGAGGTTGAAGGCTTAGAGTGATGTTGTATGTGAGCATCTATTCCAGAACGGAGGGCTTCCTTGGGGTACAAGTAGTTGGGCCTGGATCTTCTCCTTGCAGATGTGGTAGTTATAGGGTTAATGTGAGAGAAGGGAGGAGTGATCAGGGACACATACCTTCTTATCCTATGGTCACCAGGGCAAACTCCTAGCAGATCTAGCCAAACGCCTGGGCCTCCACTATGTGGTCTATAGTGGCCTGGAGAACATCAGGAAGCTGACAACTGGGAGGCTGGCAGCAGGCCACTTTGACGGCAAAGGGGAAGTAGAGGAATATTTCCGAGACATCGGCGTTCCCATGACCAGCGTGCGGCTGCCCTGCTATTTTGAGAACCTCCTGTCCTATTTCCTGCCCCAGAGAGCTGCAGATGGAAAGAGCTACTTGCTGGGTGAGTTCCCCATCCCACATACAGTGAGGCAGTGTGGAGCTGAAAGTAGGGTTGTCATCAGATCACTCTGGGTCTAATCCCTGACTGCCTGACATTAGGCTTGAGCCTGAACAAGTCATCTAACCTTGCTGGACCTTGAATTCACATGCTGTGAAAAGGGTTTAACACAGCTGGGCGTGGTGGCGCATGTCTTTAATCCCAGCCTTTTGGAAGGCAGAGGCAGGTGGACCTCTTTGAGATAGAAGCCAGCCTGGTCTACATAGTGAATTCCAGGCCAGCTGGGACTACAGGGAGACCCTGTCTCAAAAAGACCAAAAAAGAAAGAAAAGAATTTAACACAATGGTCCCTAGGAGCAATAAAGTCTACCAGGGTGAGAATGATGTGATGCTGTTCCCTTTACTGAGAGCAGTTATTACTGCTCTCAAACAGGAAGCAGAGGATCTGGATGGTGAGGTTCAGTTTTAGATTTCACAAAGTAGAAAGGCTTGGTCTTGTCAGGGCCTGCCAACCACTTGGTCAAATGGACTAAAGCAAGATGTACTAGAGGTCAAAGCTGGAGGGGTTGGTACCTCCTGGCCACTCTTTGTCCTCTGTGAACAATACCTTATGAGGATACAGGTGTTAGTAGACAGCTCAGGAGTCCTGCCTACCCAGGGAGTGATAACCCACCGGCACAGACCTTTATAGTTTGCAGAACTTGGGTACTACTGCTGCCAGAAGTGGACAAAGACCCAAAGGACTGGATGCTGGGAAAACCAACTATAAACCTCTCCTCTACTCCCACCAGCAACTCTGTCCCTGCCAACATATCTCTGCTCTCACAGATTTGCCCATGGGTGATGTCCCCATGGATGGCATGGCTGTGAGTGACCTGGGTCCAGTGGTACTCAGCCTGTTGAAAAAGCCAGAAGAGTATGTTGGGCAGAACATTGGGCTCAGTACCTGCAGGCACACTGCAGAGGAGTATGCCACCCTGCTCACGAAGCACATTGGCAAGACTGTACACCATGCCAAGGTGGGTTCCTCCTTCCCTGGAGCTGTGAAGTGTTAGCTCCTACCAGGTGCTTCTAACTCCCAAGAGGGTGGTTTTAAATTTATTTTGTGTGCAAGTACACAAAATGGATGTGTGTGGATGTGGACATGCACATGCCATAGTACTTGTGTGGAGGTCAAAAGACAACTAGTGGCAGTCAGTTTTCCCCACCATGTGGATTCTAGGGATCAAATTCAGGTCATCAGACTTGGCAAAAGGTGATAACCTGCTGAGCCATCTCACTGGCCCCCAAAGGGATCTTTTGAGGGTAAGAAAGGAGTATCTAAGGATGCCTATCCTTCTGAGTAAGGTAAATCTAAGTTCACTGACATAGTCATTCTGTTCTTAGGAGCTTAGCATGCCAGGGTGAAATTTCTGGCTTAGTTTTAACCAAGGGGACAAAAGTTTCCAGGAATGAATGAACAGTAAGGGTCAAGTTCAAAAGGGCCAAAAATTCAGGATCTGACCCTTGTGCTTCCTGTCCAGACTCATGGGTGCCTTTTTTCTGATGTTTCTTCTTCCTGCTATGAATGTAAAGCCTGTTCATTAAAAACATTCTGGGAAATGCTGAGTCAAGAAACAGAAGACACCCACAAAGCCCCAGTCCAGACCCAAACAGGGTAAAGTGTGGTCAGCAGGGCCATCTCCTGAGCTCCTGGCTTTAGATCCTTGTTCTAGCCCCTAAGGCTAGCATGTGATGTTGGACATTCCATGACCCTTCTCTTGTTTAGGAAGCAGGTATATTAATAATGTCTACTTTCATAGGCTGCTATGGGGATTAAATGAAATAATGGACAGTACACTTTCTTAGTATAATGCTTAGTGTCTAGAAAATACATACCAAGTAGTCATCTTACCTTAAAAAGGGGTGGGGCTAGGCCAGGATTGTGGAGGATTTGAAGAGGGGGGGCTGAAAGAAAAGCTTTGACTTTTGAACTAGAAAGTGATGTTACCATTTTCGCTCTGAAAGGCATTGACAGCTTTCATCTCATGACTGAAAAGCAGCCTTTAAACTGACCACTGTCAGGTAGCTTGTGAAGGAACTATGGTTTCCATGTCTTGACTATCTAGTAGAAAGTTCCACATGGCCTCATAGTAAGGACCTGGGTCAGTGACTTACAGGGCCAATAGTGGCTCTTGGATGGTGCCAGGTCCACCTAGACTTCCCAGGGCTCTGGAGGAAGCCATCCCCACCTGGCCTCCCCAGGGCTTTGAAGGAGGCAGAAACAGTGGACTCTCTGCTTCCAGACAACTCCTGAGGACTACGAGAAGCTTGGCTTCCCTGGGGCCCATGACCTGGCCAACATGTTCCGTTTCTACACCCTGAAACCTGACCGAAACATTGAACTGACCCTGCAACTGAACCCCAAGGCCCAGACACTGGACCAGTGGCTGGAGCAGCACAAAGGGGACTTTGCCCTGCTGTGATCTTGAAGTCTTTAGCTGGGGAATGGGAGGCACAACTGTCCTTCCTTGTGTATAGTTTTGTGTTTGTTTTTCAAATAAAGCCATTGTTCTCACAGATGGTTTTCTAAAAGAAAAGGGCTGTTGGTGGGATGTGGGTTAGAGTGGTGCACAAAAATGGGCACTGACAGCATGAAAATGCCAGCAGGAGGTACCAAGTGGGCTGAAGGGATCATTTGGTATGTTTAAAGTAATGAAGTATTCCACCCTCAGCCCTGAGAACAGCCCTGACCAGCCCCCACTCTCCCCATTGCACTTAGAATACATCCATGGGAACAGAGCAGAGACAGGAACTCAGCCAGCTACCAGCAGCAATGCGTCTGACACCCCCATGTGTCCCCAGGCAGGGCCAAACCCACTGAGACCATGTGCTGCATTTATTGCGAGTTAAGGACAGGAGGTAAGGGAAGACCTGGATCTCTCTCTTCATTTGCATCCTAGATAGGTGAAGCCAACATGTAAGCAACCTTCAAAATGGATTAGAAAAAGAAATGGAGTTGGGGAGATGGTTCAATCAGTAAAGTACTTGCTGCAAGCATGAGGTCAGCACCCATGTAAAAAAAAGGGCAGGTGTGGGCCTGTAATCCTAGCACTGCACTGGTAGAAACAGGAGGATCCCTTGGGCTTGGTAGAAACAGGATGGCTAGAGAGTATTACTGAATTGGTGAGCACCAGGCTCAAAGACCTTGTTTCAAAAAACAGGGTGGAGCTGAGCGTGGTGGTGTGTGCCTTTAATCCCAGAGACAGAGGCAGGTTTTTGAGATTGAAGCCAGCCTGGTCTGCATATATGGCAAGTTCCAGGCCAGCTGGGTCTACAGGTAGATCCTATCTCAAAAGACTAAAAAAGGAAAAAAAAAAAAAAAAAAAAGGTACCAATAGGTGTGGTGATTTAACCCCAGCCCTCAGGAAGCAGAGGTAGTGAGGGAGAAGGTGACATAGTGACACAGGAGAGTGATAAGAGGAAGACACCCAACTTCAACCTCTGGCCTCCATATGTATGTGCACACACACAAACATAAACATGCATACACCACACAAAAACAAATGGAAGATGTAGCAGAGCTGTGGACACTATGGAGACAAGGTGATATTGCCTGTGGCTAAGACCATCATGATAGGTAAACTCACCTCTATGCAGTAAGGAGGGAGAAACAGAAGCCAGGAGGACCTAAATCACTTGCTTGGATATCATGGCAGGTCTATGAATTATCACCTGTGAATGAGTTTGTCTAACCACCTGCACACTCTTTACTGTCCCACTCTGCTATCAGACCCCTCAAGCAAGAAATGGAGCAGCAATCCCACCATTCATTTCACTGTGGGCTCTTTGTTAACAAGTATTTCCTCTGTGTGGAGCCCTAAAATACGGGGTTAACAGATAAGTTATGTTGTCTGCCTTTAGCTTATTTAGTGGGAAGGATACACAAACTATTATAGATTGATATCAAATTGCAAAGAACAGATGGGGATAAGTAGCAACTCGGGGCAGGAGGGTTACTGGGACAGCTGAGAGGTACAACATAAATGCACAAGGCCCTAGGTTTCATCCTCAGCACCAAAGAAGGAAAATGTTAGGGGGAAGACCAATCAGTGGGTATAGGATCAGCCTCAGGAGGTAATGACTATGCTGAGGTATGTGGGGAAGGGCAGGAGTTTCCCAACAGAGTAGAAGGAAAAAGGACAAGTATGTATTGAGTACACTAGGGTCAAGAAAACATAACAGATTATGTACTGCCCATGGTGTTTTAGTTCCACCCCCCCAATCCTAAATGTGACCAGGTCAGTACCACCCAAACCTGGGTAAAGCCAGCCAAAATTCAGGTCCAGGGTGGATACTGAGCCCCCACCAGCTCCTCACCAGCAAGTAGCAGGACCAAGGCATACACTGGTGCTTGTTCATCTGGTGCCCACCTGGCAGGCACTTGTAAAAAATAGTGGCTAACCCCTACCCCTCCCAAGTTACCTTCTCTCCTGTCTGCCAAATAAAGTCAGAACCTTGCTAACCTCGAAGTGCGCTTCAGGCTGAGTGGTAGTATCCACCAGCCCTCATTGCAGAGCACAGTGAGAACATCCCAAGTTGCAAATGCAGTTCAGTGGAGAGCTGCACACAGTGTTCTTCAAGATGTTCTGTGTGCCACAAGAAATTACTCATACTGCATACAAAACACCTCACATTTTGAGCCATTTCACCAAAACTATACATTAATGCCCAGCGGCTTCATTTTCCCATCTCCTGGTTGTAACTCAATGTGGTTAGGCACAGGTCCTTCCTCCACTGTGGGTGCTGACATTAAGTTGCACTCTGTTAACAAATGCTAACCCTGGGCTCAGAACTGTTGTGACCACACATGGCAGCAAGAAAGCCTCTGTGGTCACATGAGCAAGGCACTAGAGACCCAGGCCAGCCTCACACAGAGGTGACAACCAGTCCCAAAGAGTCTCATGTAGCCCAGGCTGGCCTCAAATTCACTATGTGGCTAAAGATGGCCTTGAATTCCTGAGCCTCCTGCCTCCACTGGAGTGCTGGGATTACAGGGCTATACCACCACATCTGGTGCTCTAGTATTTTCAAATAGACTATTTTGTACCCTAATCCCAACTCAGAGGCTGTAAAGAAGTTCAGAAACAAATGCCTCAGGAGCTATGTGTGGAAATAAGTCAAGCCCAGGCCTGGAGGTAGCACTTCATGCTACAGGTGCTGCCTGGCCACCTCCATCTTCTACCTAAGCAATGGAAGCCTCAGCATGACAATAATGGGATCCCTCCTTCCTCTTCCAAGTCTCTTCCCAACCTCTGTTTTCCAAGGACAGTATGAGACCTGGTTGACTCCTTCAGGAAGAAATCTATGCCTTCCTGAGAACACTGTCCAGCCCTACTACTGTTGTCTCCTGGTCTCTAGTTTAGTACCTCATCTACACTGCATGTTCACAGCAGGCAGTCAATAGACACTTTATAAAAAAAATATTGGTAAATATTCAAGTTTAGAGAATGTTATTGTTGAATCTTTTATTCATCAGTTCTTTCCCAATCCTTCCCCACCTCCGCCCAGCAAACACATTACCTCCTTGCTCATCCCAGAAGGCATTACAGTTCTTCAAAAAGCCTAGACTAGTTACAGTACAAGACTTTATCTATCTATCTACCTATCATCTATCTATCTATCTATCTATCTATCTATCAATCATCTATCATTTATTTATTTTTTTATTTTTTTGATCTTTTTGAGACAGGGTCTCCCTGTATCCCCAGTTGTCCTGGAACTCACTATGTAGACCAGATGGGCCTTGAACTCACAGAGATCCTCCTGCCTCTGCCTCCCAAATGCTGGGATTAAAGGTGTGCGCCACCACGCCCGGCAAGACTTTATTTTTGAGACAGGGTCTCTCACTATGTAACCCCGACAGGCCTCAAATTCACAGAGATCCACCTATCTATGCCTCTGAAATGCTGGGATTAAAGCATGCACCACCACACCTGGCTAAGAAGCAAAACGTGAGTGGATGTTAGAGGACAACTTGTGAGAGTCAGTTCTCTCCTTCCACCATATTGTTGCCAGGGACTGGACTCAGGTCATCAGGCTTGTTGGCAAGCACCAGTACCTAATGAACTATCTCACTGATGCCTCCATTTTTTTTTCTTTTTGAGACAGGGTTTTCCTATAGCCCCAGCTGGCTTGGAATTCACTATGTAGACAAGGATGTCCTTGAACTCAGAGATCCTCCTGCCTCTGCCTACTGAGTGCTAGGATTAAATGTGTGTACTTTCACGCCCAGCCTTGATGCCCAAAATTCTTAAATTTTTATTCATTTTTATTTTATGTGTATGAGTGTTTTGCCTCCATGTATGTACGTGTATCCATGTCTGGCAATGCCTGTAGAGGCCAGAAGTGGGTACTGGATTTCCCTGGAACTGGAGTTAAGGACAACTGTTAGTTGCCATATGGTTACTGGGAAGTGAACTCAGGTCCTCTACAAGAACAGCCAGTGCTCTTAACCACTGAGCCATGTCTCCAGACCCTCCCCAAAAATTTAATATAGAAAAATGCAGCTGGGAAAACAACTCTGGTAGAGCATTTGTTCAGCATGGCTGAAGCCCTAGATTCAATCCCAGGTACTACAAAAAAAAAAATATATATATATATATATATGAAGTATATTGTTTACAGTCATGGTGGCACATGTCTGTAAATCCCAATACTTGAGAAGTAGAGGCAAGAGTACCAGAAGTTCAAGGCCAGCGTGGGCTACATAGTAAACAAATACTGAAAATAATGGAGGAGAAATAGAAAAAAATACCATCAAAGGATACAGAGAGCATATGCATGCTGAGAAACTGGGCTCTCAAATCAACCAAGTTCAGAGTATTTGCTCACAATGGAACACTGTCTCATGGTAACTGCCTTGCTCTAGAACTGGAGAGCAGGGAATGTGCCTGTCAGTGCACCAGATCTATTTTCCTTGCAGGGACACAAGTCTGTGGCCTATGCAGACACAGCCCGAAAACTCTCCCTTCTGCCCTCTGCTGGGCCACCTTCAGAAGCTTGTTTCAACTCAAAGAAGAAATAACCACAATTTAGGTTTTTAAATATCTTTTGTAGATTATCTTATTTACATTGATACAGAATCACTTTACATTCTCAAATCAGATACTAATAAATGCTTTACTTTTGTAAATTATAAAGGGAAAGAAATGAACTACTGAGAACATGTTCTTCATCAGCCTGCCTTATGCTAGCTCCAGGACCTTAGAACACATGGAAATCACAGCATGTTACCAGCAAAGGTTGGGGACAGGTTTCCTGTGCATGGTGGAGAGCCTTCACGAATTACACTGTGCTTTCTCCCCTTGAACATTTACAGAAGAAAAGACAATGATTGTTATCACTGAGTAATTTAAATACACTTTGGAAAAATAAAGGTCAGCAGAAGTGGGGAGAAGCAAGCCCTAGCTGGCAAAGCTCTGGGTCCCCATGGAGGAAGTAGTCTGTCCCAAATGGCCATGGTAGCGTCAGCCAAGCAGAAAGACAAGAGCCCCACCACATCTGGTTAGAACAACCTAACTCAGCAGTTGGGCAAATAGTCATCTGAGGTGAAGTAGAAGGAAAGCCTGTGTTCCAGAAGTATTCCTCCCAGAGACCCAGCACCCACTTTCTAGCTGCTTGGTACCTTCAGTAATCAAAAACAAACTCCAAGAGGGGTGACTGATACCTCAGCAGAACCTGCTGGTGCTGATCAGGTGTATAGTCCCTCACTCGTGGAGAAGACCACCTGCCAGGAAGGATATATTCCAGAACCTCCAGGTTTGCTGAGAAGAAAATCACTTCACAACGTTTGCAGCTTAAGGCTTCATTTTAAGCTGTAAGCATGGCCTTTAATTCTTTAGGATCTCCACCACATTAGATTCCAAATTACTTTTAGTTCTGCAAGAATAGTCCAAGTGTCGAATGCCTGAGCCAGAAGCAAGTTACCTACCAGTGGACAGGAAATTTCCACTAGCCCCAGAGGGCTATATGTCATTGCCTAGGGGCTGTCCACCATGACCTTCTGTGTAGAGAGGTGTCTTCACATAGATTTGCTGTTGCTGGGCGGTCCAAAGTGTTCTGTAGACAGGCGCTTGGTACTGCTGTTCCAGGATCCTCCCGTGTCTGAGGCCCTGGCTATGAAGAGGAGCTGCTACTCCTGCTCTAGTTTCCAGTCGACCGTTTTCCTGAGCCAAAGGGACAAACAGTTATATTCCACATCTCTCTTTTTTTTTTTTTTTTTTTGGTCTTTTTGAGACAGGGTCTTCCTGTAGCCCCAGCTGTCCTGGAACTCAGTGTGTAAAAGTAGACCAGGCTGGCCTTGAACTCACAGAGATCCGCCTGCCTCTGCCTCCCGAGTGCTGGGACTAAAAGTGTGCGCCACCACACCCGGCTCATTCCACATCTTAAAAGAACGCATCCCTGGGGCTGGAAAGATAGCTCAGTAGTTAAGAGCACAGGTGTTCTTGCAGAAGACCTGGGTTCAAAACCCAGCAACAACATGGTGGCTAACAACTGTCTGTAACTTCAGGTCCAGAGGTCCAACACCCACTTCTGTCCTCCGTGGGCACCGCACACAACAGGGGTGCACTTACATGCAGGCAATACACTCATACACATAAAATAAAATCAAAAAACAATTTTTTAAAAAAGAACACATCCCTGTGAGAGCTCTATTAATTCCTGAAAAATGACTGTTCTTGAAGGGTTAAAAGCCCCAGGACCCAGATGTGCACAGTGTGTCTCCAGACAAGGCCAGCAAGATCTACCTCTTGACAGCCCTGAAGGTTGCATAAAACCATGCGGCCTTGGCAGGACAGACTGCTAAAAAGCAGATGGGAGATGGAGGAGATCTGAGTTCTAGGCTTGGTTCCGCCACAGTTTGCCCTCTGTAATTTAGGGAAAGCTGGTCCCATCACCATGGAACAGAGAGCCCCTGGGAATTGACATAAGGGATCAGTGAGGCAGCTCCAAATTCAACCTCTTCAGGAAGGAGTTCACATTTAGTTCAAACTGAAGAGACTGATCACTGCGGCCTGCTCAGCTCTCTGCTGGCTGTATACCACATGCTCTACTCCCAAGGGCTGAGAGTATCACATTTATCACATCTTTGGCTGACGCCTCTCCCAACTCCTGGGTTGGGAAGAATGGGGTCCACTGTTGGTTAAGGTAACCAAAAAAGAGATTAGTTCACAGAGGGTAACAGGGAAGAAACCTCATGGTTGTCCTACCTCGGCAAGGATATCAGGAAGTAAACATTTTCTTAAGTTTGGAAAGGAATCCCTCATTGTCCTCCCCAGCCTCTCGCCTATCCTTGCTTCCTGCGGAGCTATCCATGGTCCTGCCACCTGAGCACAAACAGCAGAAAGAACGGAAGTCAAGGGTACACACCTCCAGGTATCACATGCCAGCCCCACCTACCCATGTCTGGCCACCCAGGGGCTGGCACTCAAGAAGCAGCCAACGGCCACTCCATGAACACAGGGCCACTCTCGGGCTGGCAACTACTGCCTCAGGTGTTAGACTGAAGCAAATGGGACACTCAGAGCCTCAGGGCATCCCAATTCCTCTGAAGCCAGAGACCCATAGAGAGGAAATAAGAAACAGAGAAGGGCAGTGCCCAGCTGTCTGCAATCTGAACAAGAATGACAAAGGTGGCACAAAATGCCAGAAGTCTTAAGGGCAAGTCACACAGCTTACACACATTAGCTCATTATCATAGGGTAACTCTGCCAGTATACTTTACAGACCTAAGAAGCAACGTCACACAGGTCAGGTGGGCTATTCAGGGTCCTTGAGCTAGCCAGCAGGAAGCAGAACTGAGCTCAAACCCAAGCACCTGATTCCACGGCCCAGACTCTTAACCAACTTTACCTAGCCAGAAAAGAAATAATGTTCCCACTCCAAGAAAAGATCCAATTTCTAGACCTACCGCCACACTTCACACTATGTTGTATACATTAACATGCTCAAGATACCCCATGAGGAAGTGACTCCCATACAGGATCCTCTGCTGTGTACCTTGTCTGATCTATCACAATGCCAGTGGGCTGTCTAATTGCTCCAGAAAATATGCAGTTGCACTGCTGGTTTTTAGAGGCTAGACCAAGGCTACCTAAGGAACTTTGCTGCACTAAAGATTTGCCAACCTTGGGCTAAAGATGGCTCAGTGGTTAAGAGCACACACTGTTCTTTCAGAGGACCAGAGTTCCATTCCCAGAACCTACAGCACCAACATCAGGTGGCTCACAACTATTTAACTCCAGCTCCAAGGGGATTCAGCACTCTGGCCTCCATGGACACCCACATGCACATCACATACTCATATCTATATACATAAAAATAAATCTTTGAGGGGCCAAAGAGATGGCTCAGTGGTTAAGAGCACCGGCTGCTCTTTCAGAGCACCTGGATTTGGTTCCCAGCAGCCACATGGTGACTAACAACCATCTGTAACCCCATGCCTTTAGTCCCACCACTCAGGGGATTTGACACCTTCTTCTGGCCTCAGCAGGCATTACACAACACAGATGCACTTAACGTATATTCAGGCAAAACAATGATACACATAAAAATAAAAATAATTATTTTTCTTTGGTCTTTTTGAAACTAGCCCATATTTTTTTTTTTTTTTTTTTTTTTTTGAGACAGGGTCTCCCTGTAGCCCCAGCTGGCCTAGAACTACCTATGTAGACCAGGCTGCCCTTGAGCTCACAGAGATCTGCCCATCTCTGCCTCCCAAGCACTGAGACTAAAGGTGTGCACCACTATACCCAGCTAAAATAAATAATTTTTAAAAATAATTCTAAAAAAAAAAATCTTAAGAAAAGCAAAAAAAGACAAGGTATTGGTGCAAAAAGCCTTTAAACCCAGCACTGGGGAGGCAGAGGCAAACAGATCTCTGAGAGTTTGAGGTCAGCCTGGTCTACACAGAGAGTTCCAGGCCAGCCATAGCTATGTAGTAAGACTCTGTCTCAAAAAAAAAAAAATCAATAAAATAGATAAATAAATAAATAACAGCATTCCCAACCTGGAGGGGTAGAGGGCAAATACTTGTAACATCATTTTGTCTTAGCTTTTCTTTCTTTGTGGCAGTCTCATATAGTCCAACCTGGCCTTGGATTCACTCTGCCACCCAGGCTAAGCTGGCCTTCAACTACTGATCCTCTAACATCCCAAATACTAGGATCAGAGCCACCATGCCTTGTTTGCATCAACATTTTGACTTTTTTTTTTTTTTTTTTTTTTTTACATTTTCTTATTGTGTGTATGTATGTGCTCAAACAGGCAGGTGTATCCCACAACTGTGACAGCTTCAAGAGCCTTTGACTGCTGAACCATCTTGCCAGCTCTGCAAGGCATATTTTTAAAGTGCTGAAACACATGCCTTGTAAAGTATACGACCACTGGGTGTGGTGGCTATACATGCAGGCAAAGCACTCATACACACAAAATAAAAGCAAACAAATTTAAACTGGCCATGGTGGTGCACACCTTTAATCCCAGAGTACTGAGATTACAAGTTGTATGGAATCATGCCCAATTAAACTTAGGATTCATTTTGTTTGTTTGAAAATATTGTACATTCATTTATTTGTTTGGGAGGGCACACATCATGGTGCACCTCCTGAGTGCTAGGACTAAAGGCATGCACCACCATGCTCTACTTGAATATAATATTTTTTTAAAATATCAGAGGACAGCACTTGGGAGGCAGAGGCAGGTGGATCTCTGTGAGTTCAAGGCCAGCCTGGTCTAGTGAGTTCCAGGCCAGCTAGGGCTACAGGGAGACCCTGTCTCAAAATGATCCCCCCCACAACAAAAAAAAGAGGAAAGAGCTAACAAAGTATCACAATAAACCCTGGTTGAACTAATCATTGGGGCAAGGAACCATAAACATTAATAATGGTTCCAACGATACTCATAAACTGTTCAGTCAAATCTTAAATCATCACAGCAAGGATTTAAAATAAGAAATGGGGCTGGGCCTGATAGCACATAACTATAACCCCAGCACTCCATGGCTGAGCCAAGAGGATTCCAATAATTTCAAAGACAGACCTGGTTATATAGTAAGGCCCAGTTGCAAAAAAAAAAAAAAAAAAAAAAGGAAGGAAGAAAATAATAAGAGGCTGTGAATGTAGCACTGAGTGGGTGGAGCACTTCTCTGGCATGCAAAGGCCAATCTCCACTAATGCTTTTCTAAAATGTCAAAATGCCCATGCCCCAACCTGAGACCAGTTCTGTAGAACTTGAGCTTCCCTGGTCAGTAGGCGAAGATAGTTGTGTGCAAAACAAATCTCCCATATTATGAGAACTGGGGGACATGTAAGTTTCAGGAAGAAGTTAGAGGTGCAAAATGAGAGCTGTATGGAATAACTAGTCCTATTTCTTAGTTCAAAAGACAGAACAAGAGAGCCGGTGTGTTGGAACACATCTGTATCCCAGCTCTCAAAGGACTGAGCACTAGGACCTCAAATCTGAGGATACCAAGAACATCTAAGACAAACAACTATCCAAAGATAGAAAAGAATAAAGTATATGTACCTAACCATTAAAATAAATACCATTCAGTATTGGTCAAACTATATAGATAGGGTTTCTGTCCCCAACAGGAGTTCAACAAAAATTCCATGAAAGGCTGCTAGGACTTCTACTCCCATTCCTGCCTCTGCCTCCAAACCCTCCACTTTGCTGGAAAAGTTCCCCAGCTCTGAACACCTGAGGTACATTACCATATACTAAACCAAGGCCATTCCAGGTCCGAGAACTCCAAGTTCCCACAAAAACAAAGTGATGCAACAAGGTAGAAACATGTGCAGCCTGAACCACCCACTTCCTGAGCACAGTCTGTCCTGACCTGAGCAGGGTCCCAATCAACAGAGGTCTCATCTCCCACAGGAAGGGGAACTGCAGTTGCAGGGACCACTACGAAGCTCCAGTTGGCAGAGAACAAATATCAAATCACTTGTGTTCAATGATACTGTACTCATAGAGCATGACATTTGAGCTACAGCAACAACTTTGTTCAGTGAAGGATGTCAAGACTATCCTGAGTCCTTTGATAGGGTTTTTACACTGCGGTTACCATCGTTTACATTTTGGAATCCTGGTAAAGCTTTTAGAATCCAGAAGATAAGATCTGTCCAATTCATCTCCGCTTTAAGCTGTTACAAGGAGCTCTCATGGAGGGAAGGTGCCCAAGGTCACAAGGCAAGTAGCAGAACCAAGGCTAGAACTCAGAACAACAGCTCTGAGATACAGAGCTGACGGGGCAAGGTGATCCAGTGCTTTTCTTAGTACATGAACCCATGCAGTGAAAGAGAGATGCTTCATCGGGGCCATAGCTCCACTCCCACAGCTCCCCTCTTGAAGATTCAATGGAAATCGAATATACCACTCTGAACTGTCAACCCTTCAGGGACTCAGAGGCTCCTCATGCTTCCATGTCCCTCAGGGCCCTTACCAGTGCTTGTATGAGTGACACCGTTCACTGTCCCCTCCACGTCAGTCTCATCCTCGGCGTAGCTCAGGATCAGACTCTGCTGCCGACTGGTTAACCTCCTGTGGACCAAGCAGGGTTAGTGGCCAAGTACTTTCTCCAGGCAGCTCTTAGAAGGACATAACACAGGCACGTCCCTAACTCAGGAGGGAGTACACACTGAACCAGTAATAATGACTGGGGTCGCACCCCAAAGCTTTAATAAAACCCTGAGTTGTTTAAAGAACTATCACTGCTGTTATGCTAGATATAGTTACAGGAGGTGAAGGGTTGGAGGGGGGCGGTTACAAGTGTGTGTATGAAGGAGCAGTTAAAAAACTAATCTCAGCCAGCATGGTGGTGCACACCTTTAATTCCAGCACTCAGGAGGCAGAGGCAGGCAGATCTCTATGAGTTCAAGTCCAGCCTGGTCTACAAAGTAAGTTCAGGCCAGCTGGGGCTACTGGGAGACTCTGTCTCAAAAAGACCAAAAAAAGGAAAAAAAAAAAAAGAAACTCATCTTACAAAAAGGACAAGAGCTAGAAATGACCTCCCAAGAGAAGTTGGGTACGCCCCACACTGGGTGCCACAACACTCTGTCCAGAACACAGCAAGAACTGAGCATCTCCTATGTGTTACTCAGTGAGGTCAACCTGTTATATCTACTTCACAAATGGGAAATGTGTCCTGACATCAATGGGAAAAGACCTGTTCAAGTCAAGAGCTCAGGAAGCAGCTAAACTGCCGGATGCTGGGCCTGGTAGATGCCTGCTTAGTGCATCAGTGTATATAGGGTCTCTCAGTCCTGGTCATGGCCTGAGCAAGCACTTACTTTGGAACTCTGATCTTGATGTGAATGTAGTGGTCACCATAACCATAGCTATTAATCCGAGGGATACCTTTCCCACTGAAGCGCATCTTCTGGTCTGTCTGAATCCCAGCAGGTATCTATAAAGAAAAGAATGGCTGATGTTCCCTGGTTGCCACTGTCCAAAAGTAAACTACACAGAGACAATCCTGAAAAGAATCCTTAAAGAAGGACCTGCACCTGGGTTTATGGAACAAACTTTCCAGGCAGGAATTATGGGGCAGTGAGCCTAGGAAACAGGAGTGAGGGGTGAAGCAAAAGACCTAGGGAACGAAAAGAGTTGGAAGAAAATGGGAGACTGAGGTTGTTCTATTGCCCTCAATGGACTGGACACCAAGTGCCCTGGAGAAGCAGAAATGGCCTTCAATGGATGTAGGAGTATTTGCTCACAGTGCCCACCTCCGTGGTCAGAGGTATGCCCAATGTCTATATGCCCAGAGGCTGGAGAAGCCCTGAGGCAAACACAGTAATACAAGGGTGGATATAGTAAGCTGTCCACTACAGCTGCAACTAAAACCAGAGGTGGCCAAGGGAAAGAGACACAGGACCTTCAGCACCTGCTCTCCTAGACAGACCCTGGGTGGGAACATGAGCAAAGAGTACCTACTGCAGTGACTCTCTGCATCACTCACGCACTCAGTTCCTAGGACTGTGATCAGTGGAGGGAAGATGCAGGCCAGGAACTACTCTCCATGGTAATCATACAGCAAGGCCTGAAGCTGTGATTATTACTCAAGGAACAGTCTAAAGCTCTTAGTGGAACCTGTACCAATGCCTCTTCTCCCCTTAGAATCCCCAATAAGCTGGACACTCACAGGTTTTAGGGCTGTATCAGTTATTTCCCATTTCAGAAAAAAAGCATTAACCACGGATAGGAGCACATGAATGGAAATCCCAGCACTTAGGAAGCGGAGGCAATTGGATTACAAGTTTAAGACTAGCCCAGGGTATATAAGCATCCTCAAAAATGAAGGAAGAGAAGGAAGAAAAGGAAGGGAGGGAAGGGAGAGAAGGGAGGAAAGGAAGGAAGGAAGAAAAGGAAGGAAGGGAAGAAAGAAAAGGATAGGAAGGAAGGGAAACAAAGAAGGAAAGAAAAGATAGATCAACAAAATGTTGGGTTGCAAAGACGGTTGTCCTCATGGCCTCTTACCACCACATTAATTGTCTCATACAGGCCCTGGGCTCTGGCTGTTCCCCCAAGAATAGCCTGAGCTATTGAAATAAAGAGATCGGAATGGATGTCTGCACCGTCCCTCCGGAACACAGGGCTTTTCTGTACCTAAGGTCAAACAGAAGACAAGTGTGATCACCAGTGAAGTCTTGCCTGAGGCTGGGCATTAGATGCCTGAGCATGGGGCCTGAACCACTTTAGCTTCCTTTGTGTTTAAAGAGCTTGGAGATTTTTTCTTTTTTTTAGAAAACCTGTATCTCAACAATGGGAGGCAGCACCCCAGGGCTCTGGAGGGGCACAGCGTCTATGTTTACATATCCCACAGTGGAGTATGTGTAGACCGCCTCAGTCTCCATCACAACCTTTCAATTGTGAAAGGAAGTAAGAATTTAATTTGGCTGAAAAAAATTTTTTTTCCAGGGGCTGGAGACATGCCTCAGTGGTTAAGAACACTGGTTGGCCAGGCATGATAGCACACGCCTTTAGTCCTAGCACTCAGGAGGCAGAGGAGGATCTCTGTGAGTTCAAGTCCAGCCCGGTCTATATAGTGAGTTCCAGGCCAAATGGGACTACAAGAGGACTCTCTCAAAGCACCCCCACACCCCCAAAAAAGAAAAAAAAACACTGGTTATTCTTACAGAAGACCCAGGTTTGAATCCCAGCACCCACATGGCAGCTAACAACTGTCCGTAGCTCCAGTCCCAAGAGATCTGACAGCCTCTTCTGACAGGTACTGCACAACACGGGTGCACGTATCTATATGCAGGCAATACATGCATACACATAAAAATAATAATTTTTTTTTTCCCAGCTGGGCATGGTGTCACATGCCTTTAATCCTAGCACTTGTGAGGCAGAGGCAGGCGGATCTTTGTGAGTCTGAGGCCAGCCTGGTCTACGTAGTGAGTTCAGGTTAGCTGGGTCTACAGGGAGACCCTCTCTCAAAGAGACCAAAAAAAATTTTTTTTTCCCCAAGTCTTACCTTATTAGAAAGGTTGTAAAACACATCTACAAAGGTAAAAATGATTTATCAGGGGTTAAAGAAATGACTCAGTCATATAGTGCCTGCCATGCAGAGGACCTGAGTTCAGACCCCCCAACGCTCATGTGAAAGCTAGGTGTGAATGAGTGCTTCAGAAGCAGAGGCAGAGAGGTACGTGGATCTCTGTGAAGTAGAGGTCAGTTTGCTCTACATATAAGTTCCAGGACAGCTGGGGCTACAGGGGAAATCCTGTCTCAAAAAACTTAAAAAGCCAGGTACAGCAGTATACATCTGTAACCTCAGCCAGTGCTGAAAAGAAAAGAGAGAGAGAGAGAGAGAGAGAGAGAGAGAGAGAAAGAATGTGTGTTGTATATAAACAGGTAGCTATCTGGATCTCATTGGTCACACAGCCTAGTCAAATCAATGAGCTCCAGGCTGAGAAAAACGCAATCTCCAAAAACACAGTGGGAAACAATGAAGAAAAACATTCAATTTGGATCTCTAGCCTTCACACACATATGTGTGCACGCACACATTCATGAACACATAATTTTTTAAAATATTTATTATTTTTATTTTATATGTATGAGTGTATTGCTTGCATATGAATGCACTGTGTCGTGCAATGCTGTGGAGGTCAGAAGAGGGCTTCAGATTCCCCTGGAACTGGAGTTAAGGACGGTTCATAGCCACCATGTGGGTGCTGGAACTCGAACCCTGCAAGAGCAATCAGTGCTCTTAACTGCTGAGCCATCTCTCCAGCCCCAACATATAAATTTTTTTTCAGATGGTCATTTAATAAAGCTGCCTCCAGGAGAGACTGGCAGCACCAGAATTTATTTGACTTACAAATACTATTTTTCATATCTCAAAAAATTCTCTGCCCTTAATTTCTTCTGTTCTTTTTTCCTCTATTATTAGATGGGAAGCACAGCTAAATTCTCTACCTGATTCAAATTTGAAATATCTCACATATAAAAAAAGGCAAAGAAGCCTGGCATGGTGGGGAATGCCTTTAATCCCAGCACTCGGAAGGCAGAGGCAGAGGCAGGCAGATCTCTGTGAGCTCAAGGCCAGCCTGGTCTACATAGTGAGTTCCAGGACAGCTGGGGCTACAGGGATACTCTGTCTCAAAAAGACCAAAAAAAAAAAAAAAAAAAACCAAAGTAAATAAATATAGTAAATACAGTGCATCCACAACCAAACTCACAGAATTACAACATTACAAATGTGCTAGGCCTGGTGGCACATACCTGTAATCCCAGCAATCAAGAGGCTAAGGCTAAGGCAGGAAAACCATGAATTCAATGCCAGTCTGAGCAAGGCGTTGAGATTCTGTCTCAAAAAGATAGGAAGAAGCCAGGCATGGTGACACACACCATTAATCCCAGCAACGGGGAGGCAGAGGCTGGCAGATCTCTGTGAGATCGAGGCTGGCCTAGTCTACATACTGAATTCCAGGTCAGTTGGAGCTATAGGGAAAACAGTTCAAAAAGACCAAAAAAAGATAGCAGATTGTCATCAATGTCACAGTGCCTTGTTATCATAAACAAGGTTGTCACCAGGCATGGTGGCACGCATCTTTAATCCCAGCACTTGGGAGGCAGAAGCAGGCAGGTCTCTGTGAGTCTGAGGCCTTCCTGGTCTCACAATGAGTTCTAAGTCAGCCAGAGCTACATAGTGAGACCCTGTCTCAAATAAACAAATAAACAGTGATGTCATATACACCTTGGTCCCTAACACAATCTAAACTTACAAGAGATTTTCTCAGGTATATATCTAGGAGTGTAAGTAGTGGTAGAAGGAAACTTTAATGTTTCCGTATCAGAGAAAACCATTTTGGGGCTGAGGATGTGAACACTTGCCTAGCATGTAGGAGGCCCTGGAGTCAATTCCTGGCATTGATAAATAAAAAGATTAAATAAAACTATACCATTGGAATGTGCTTTTCCTATCAATAATTTATACATGAGTAATAACACACACGCAAATGTTCTAGGTTTTGTGTCCTGTATTTCTAATTTGACAACATTGTGAAGAAGTTTTATTTTTTTCACCCCAGGCATGAAATCTCAATGAAAAGTTAATAACCATGACAAGGTGGTCTTCCTTACACTTGGAACAGCTACCACTTGTGCCCATGAACCTACTTGACTCCTCTGAGCAGTCTTAGCTGTACCTGCTACAAGAGAGCAAGGAGAGAAGCTGACAGGCAAACACCTACCCTGAATGTGACAAAAATTTCTCGTTTTCCTACAGGCATCCTCACAGTTTGGCCATCTTCAACTCCTAGGAAAACAAAAGTTCCAAAGAGGTGTTATGGTAGGAGCCTCCCACAGGACTCCCTGCCCAGAAAACCCACTTGACAAAGTTTCTTATTTTATTTTGGAGATGGGATCTCACCACGTAGCCCAGGCTGACCTTCAACTTGTGCTTCTCCTACCTCAGCCTCCCATTCCTGTGATTAACAGGTGTGTACCACCATAACTAGCTTCTCTTTCTTGTTAATGTCATCCTCACCGAATAAAGACAAGAGGGGACAGAGGAAAGGAAACCTTGGGATAGGAGCTGCAACCTCTTGGCAGGAGCAAGGTGGACACATTAGAAAGATGACTGGTACAAAGAAAGATTCTAGGAGATTCTAGTTCCTTCTCCGACCTGGGCCTTAAGTCTAGCTCTGCCAGCATCCAAACAGAGCACAGCAGCCTTGGCCCATCTTCTGAGGAGAGGCCCACCTGCGGGCACAGGGATCATCACTCGCTTCTTCTGCTTGGCTTGCCCTGCTCCTCTACAGACCACACAAGGAGTTGTGAAGATAGAGCCTCGGCCCCCACATCTCCGACAAGTGGAACGCATCACAAAAGGGCCTGTATTGATGGTTTCCTGAAGAAAAGCAGAAAAATGCTAAGAATGAACACATTCTGATATATTAGAAAAAGATCTTACTAATGGCTTATATCCAGGTGATGTGGCACGTTATCTATAATTCCAGCATCTGGGAGGTAGAGACAGGAAATCAGGAGTTCAAGGCCTGCCTCAGCTACATAGTGAGTTTGAGGCCAGTCTGGGTTACATGAGTTCCAGGCCAGCCAGGGCTACAAAGTGAGACCTCGGCTCAAAAATCAAACAAAAAAAAAGAGGAGCAAGATAAGGTCAATATACATTACATATATGAACGAACTTTTCAAAGTATTATTTTCTTAATGAGGAAAGGGTAAAAAAGAAGGGAGGAAGGGAGGAAGAATGAATGGATTTGTTTTTGTTTACATGTGCCCTAAAACTCACTGCCTAAGAAAACAGTACAAGGGTTCATACCACTCATCTGAACAATTTCTTTTTTTTTGCTGGGGGAAGGTCTCATATGGATCTGGGTGGTGGACTCAAACTATGTAGCCAAGGATAACTTTGGAAACATCTGATTTACCTGATGCCACCTAACAAGTGCTGGGGTACAGATGTATACCACATCCAGCTCTAAAGTAAACAAATTTCTTTTTTCTTTTTTTTTTTAAAACTTTGTTTTTTCCCAGGGGGTAAGGGTGGCATGGGGATGGGACCAGCCCTACTCAGCCCCTCTAAAGTAAAAAAGTTTAAAGGAACTTACAATGTGATCTGCTTCTACCCTCTGTCGGGCTGTGTCTGTCTGTCTGTCTGTCTGTGAGCACATATACACTGGGGACTGAAATCAGAGCCTCAGGTTGAAAGTCAGCCTGGGCTATATAATGATTCCAAGGCCAGCCTGAATTAGAGTGAAACCCCAAAACCCCGTCTCAAACAAATAAACACAAAATATATTCAGGGCTTTGAGCATTCTAAGAACATTTTCTACCACTGAGATACACACCCAGCCACAATAATTCTAAATATGGAATACCTATATGTAAGAATCGTTTCTGCCTGGTAGAGATTATTAACTCCAAACGTGTTACTATTTTAGTATGCCATACAATTGAACAAATGAGCAAATATATTAAGGATAATCAGAGAAAGATTTCTTTCTATTAAAAAGTATTATGGAGGCCAGGGATGGTGGCGCACGCCTTTAATCTCAGCACTTCGGAGGCAGAGGCAGGCAGATCTTTGTGAGTTCGAGGCCAGCCTGGTCCACATAGTGAGTTCCAGGACAGCTGGGGCTACAAGGAGACCCTGTCTCAAAAAAGACAAATAAATAAATGCTGGGATTAAAGGCAGTCACCACCGGGCCCGGCCATTTCTATTTTTTTTATATAAAATGGGCCAACCAGGCATGGTTGTGCACACCTTTAGTCCCAGTACTCAGGAGGCAGAGACAGGCAGATCTCTGTGAATTCAAGATCAGCCTGGTCTACACAGCAAGTACCAGGCCAACTTGGGGCTACAGGGCAACCCTGTCTCCAAAAAAAAAAAAAAATTATGGGCTAGTGAGATGGTTCAGCAGATAAAGGCACCTGGCCACCATGCTAAGTGACCTGAGTTCAATCCCTAAGTCCCATGTGATAAAAGCGAGAACCAACTCCCACAAATTGTCCTCTAACCTCCACATAGAGGTCATGGAAGTCATGGCACACATGTACCCAAACACATACACAGAATAAATGTAATAATAAAAAATAACCAGGCATTGTGATACATGTAGCTATGACAAAGCACTCAGAAGGTTGAGGCTAGAGGATTGCTATAAATTCAAAGACAGCCTGAGCTAAAGATTGAGACCCTGTCCCCACCCCAATCTTCCCCTTAAACAGTCAGCGTGGAATCCTAGCACTTGAAAGGTAGAGGCAGGAGGATCAGGGGTTCAAGGTCATCCTCAGATACATATTTAGCTTGAGGCCAGCCTAATGTAGTAGTTAGCATACCAGTCAAGCCCTAGGAATATCTAAATATCTATTGGAGCACAGAGAAAACCAATGGTTGGAACAACCTGGATAGGTAGGAGAGAGGGGGAGATGTCACCAAGAGTGGGGACTCCAAAGTACCCTTACCATGCCAGAGCCGCTGCAGTAGTGGCAATGCTGCAGTTTGGTTCCAGGCTCATTCCCTTTGCCATCACAGCGCTCACAGGTATCCATGATGTTCACAGTAAACTCCTTGTTGACGCCCTTGGCAGCTTGATTGAATGTCAACTCCATGATATACTAAAGAGTAAAGCATGGCCTTGCAGCATTAGCTTAACCATGATTACAGTGATACTCTACTTCAGAACAGGTGGGCACTGGCCAACACCGGCCAGCACCTGCAACCTCTCCTTAACTATTGAACAGATAAACATGTACAATCTGTCAGGGTTCAGTTTTGTTAGCTGATACTGCTTCTGGGGATTTTCAAATGTACTGTGAAAATTTACACTTCTACAAACTGAAGGCACTCAAAGATAATATTTACATGAAGTACTTACTACAATCTACATCTAGAATGTCTCTGAAAGGTCAAAAGCTTGGTCTTCAACTTAATTGGAAGTAGTGGGACCTTGAAGAGGTGCGGTTCTAGTGGGGGCTTTTAGGTCACTGGTGGTGTGTCCTCAAGGGGGATTTTAGTCTGCAGTCTGTCTTCCTTTTCCTTCATAACCATGGGCAGATGAGCAACTTTGCTTTGCCACACTCCACATCATTATATGCTGCCTTGCCACAGTCCCCAAAACAAGGGGCCCAACACCACCACTGATCAAAAAACCTCTGGAATCATAAGCCAAAATCAATCTTTCCACTTCAGGATTGTTTATTGTAGGCATTTTCTTACAGTAATAGAAAGCAAACTAGCATAAACTCATAAAAATCTTGAATGATCTATAACTTAGATCATGAAACATTTCTCCTCCCTCCTCAATTCTGACAATGTCCCATTAGGACAAAAAAGTAGAAGAGAGACGCCACAGTATCTTCCCATTAGACTGAGCTCTCCTAGAATGACATGGCATGCTCTAGATAAATCACTCAACTATAGTCTTCTTAGATGCTGCCTGATTAAGCAACTTTTAATAATATTAATGTCAAAAGGGATATGCGCATTACTACTTAAAGGATTTTTCAGATGTTGGATTACTTTTGGCCAAATGGCTGTGTCTGAATCATTCCACTGCTTTTCTGAGGAATATAAACTAAAAAAATTCTGCATCACATTTCACTTAAATTTTGATCCTTTAAAATAAGGTACTTGGCTGGGCGTGGTGGCGCACTCCTTTAATCCCAGCACTTGGGAGGTGGAGGTAGAGGCAGGCGGATCTCTCTGAGTTCAAGGCCAGCCTGGTCTACCTAGTGAGTTCCAGGACAGCTGGGACTACAGGGAGACAAAAAATAAAATAAATAAAATTAAAATAAAATAAAATAAAATAAGGTACTTACTTCCTGAGGTTGATCAAACACAGTCTGAAAATCTCCAAAGGAAGATGATGAGAACTCCCCAAAGATCTTCCTGAATAGCTCCTCCGGGTCAACAGAGGGCCCTCCCCTCCAGTAGCTCTGGCCAGAGCTGCTGGCCCCAGGATCAAAGCCGGCAGAGCCATAAGTATCATACTGCTTTCTCTTTACTTCATCGCTCAACACCTTCAATAAAGAAAGAGAGAGCAATCAGGCATTTCTAGGTCTTCTGAGGCCCAGGAACACAGCACCCATGCCAACTAAGAAAGTCACTTTTACTAAATGGTCTCAAGTGTAAAACATTCTACAAAAGCCATTCATGGTTGTGCATGCCTGTAATTCCAGCACTCAGGAGGCTAAGGCAGGAGGAAAAGTTTGAAGACAACCTGGGCTATACAATGAAACCCTACTTCAACAAACAAACAAAATTACATTGACTCTACAACTATAGCTCAGTAGAAAAGCACTTGCCTAGCATGCACAAGGCCTTAGGTTCAATCCTTAGCATGGCAGAAACAGAAAAATGAAAAATATATGTTAGCCTACCAATACACTTTTCACAGTATTATAGTTAACTCTGTCGACTGGACTGAGGGATGCCTCGAAAATTAGGAAAGTATATTTTTTGGTGTCTCTGAGGATGTTCCCAGATAAAACTGGAACACACGGCCAGATGAAGTAGAACAAGCCTGTGATCAAAGCACTTAGGAAGCTAAGACAGGAGGTTCCCAGCCAGCCTGAGCTACATAGCAAGATCATGCCTCCTAAAAAAAAAGCCAAAGACTGGCATGTAGGTTAGTGAGCCAAATAGGGAAGACCAAACTTGAATGTTAGCAGTACTACCCAGCCGGTGGTGGCCCCAGTGGAAAGAAAAGCAGAACAGGAAGCTAGCTCTCTACTGCCAATGATTCTGCAATTGGTCAATGATTCTTTCACAGATATATGTTTTGTCTTAAATACACTGTGTTTTCCCACGCAGTGATGGTCTTCTAATTTTACAATAGCTACTAACCTTAAGATAGCAATACCCTGAGAAGTCAGCAATAAGGACTGAACTAATGGGTCTAACCAAGACTTCCCAAGCTCAGCAATAATATGAATTACGGGCTAGAGATGGCTTAGCAGTTAAGAGCACTGGCTGCTCCTACAGAGGACCCAGGTTCAATTCCCAGCACCCACAATGAGGCTAGTAACCATCCATAACTCCAGTTCCAGGGGATCTGACACCCTCTTCTGACCTCTGTGGGCACTGCATAACACAGGTACACTTACATACGTACAGGCAATACACTCATACACATAAAAATAGTATTAAGTATGAATTACTTGGAGAGCTTTATTCACACCAATGATGAATCCTGTTTTTATTTTGTTTTGTATTGAGAGTTTATGTAGCCTTGGCTGATCTTGAACTGATAGCAATTCTCCTGTTTCAACTTCCTGAGTGCTGGAATTATAGGTGGACCACCATGTGTGGCTGTTCTGTTTTTTGTTTTTTTTTTTTCTTTAATTTTTTGGTCTTTTTAAGACAGGGTCTCCCTGTATGTAGCCCTGGCTGGCCTGGAACTCACTACGTAGCCCAGGCTGGGCCCTGAACTCACAGAGATCCACCTGACTCTGCCTCCCAAGTGCTGGGACTAAAGGAGTGCACTACCACACCCCTCGCCCCTTTCTTCACTAAGGTTCTAAGCTAGTAGACGTAGCATGAGGAGACCTCAGAATTGTTTGTTTTTTGTTTTTCTTGGTCTTTTTAAAAGTCTCCCTGTAGCGCCAGCTGACCAAGAACTCACTATGTAGACCAGGCTGACCTTGAACTCCCAAGAGATCTACCTGCCACTGCCTCCTCAGTTTTGGGTTTAAAGGTGTGCACCATCATGCCCAGCTGTTCTTTTTTTGTCTTTTTGAAGCAGGGTCTCCCTGTAGCCTCAACTGTCCTGGAACTCACTATGTAGACCAGGCTGGTCTTGAACTCACAGAGATCTGCCTGCCTCTGCCTCCCAAGTGCTGGGACTACAGGCGTGCACCACCATGTCCAGCTTCTTTTCATTTTTTTAAGACAGCCTCATTATATGTAGTTCTGACTGAATTGGAACACTTTATGTAGACCAGGCTGGCCTTGAACTCACAGAGATCCATGTGCCATTTTTTTAATTTATTTATTTAATTTAATTTTTTT